AACATAAAAAAATAACACATGACCTATTACTCCAGAAAACATAAGTAGTTTCATTCAAGCCAACGTTTCGCCGTAACGGCATCAGGGACAAACAAAACACTTGCTAACTGATTTTAGGCTAAACCAATTAGTGTCTTGTTTGCTCCGATGAAGCCGTAATGGCGAAACGTTGGCTTGAATGAAACTACTTATGTTTTCTGGAGTAATAGGTCATGTGTTATTTTTTTATGTTTTTGCCAACATTGAGTTTAAATTGGCTAATCACATGCCAACGATCACAAAGTAATTTTTATTGTATCATTTTCAAAAGCATTTATAAATCATTCTGTAAAGTGGACGAGTTTAAGTAAGCAAAGCAAAACCAAAATGTAAATTAACAAGCGTTAACTCCATATCTTTCATCAATCTCTACACAGACACAATAAGAAACGATAGTTCTCTTGCATTCCAGGAAGAAGTGGCAAGCATGTTTTTGGTATATTTGTGTACAAATATATGTTCATAGTTAACTTTATTTACAAATTTTAATTCTTTACAGGCATCTTCTTCATCTTGCCGTGCATTGAGAACTACACTAAGGTAGATTTACGCACCTTGACCTTTGATGTTCCACCCCAGGAGGTAAGCACCGATGGTTGCTATAGCGACACCCACATGTATATTGTTGGTGTTAACAACCACACACGTTCAGTACGCGTACCGATACCAGGTAAATATTATGGTACTATTAACAACATCAGTCATTATTGGATTACCAGTAGGATGTGAGAGGTGATGTTTAAGACAAACTTTAGGCTTCTATCTCACGTGCTTATATCGTCCGTATTGTGTCAAATTTTATTTCTCTAAGTTCATCTCTGTTCATTGTTCAACCATATGCAAAAAATCTTTTGAACATTCTTATAATTTCACTGACAAATTATGAAAGCTGTCTAATAACATTTCTACCAACTTGCTCACGTCACCTGTCGTGCCTTTTGAGCACTAATTATATATGTAGTATTTTCTACTTAGCATAAAACTTCAGTTTGCAGTGTAGGTTTTTAAAAACGCATCTTTTCCCAGTCGTTTTATGTGTGAATTACTCTGTTCAATTGTTACATTTTGATTTTAAACTGTACAAATAATTTCATCTTAAGTTTCCCTTGACCCTCTATTTTCCACCTTCCACCCTCCCCTCACCATTTACAAAAGAAATTCCTTTTGTTACTTCTAATCCATAAAAGACAAACTGTTATTCAAAGAGATAATAAATGGATTTTGAGAAAACAAAAATTGTACTCTTATGGTTAAGAAACGTACGAATTATCTATAATGAGTAGTAATGTTTATTATTATTACTTATTAAAGCTTTTAATTTTATTAATTCTTGTGCTAACATTCCCCCCTCTGGGAGCGTACTCGTTTCTTAAACTGACTGAAACACAACTTAAAATAATACCATATTTTTCGTTTATCTTTAAGCAAATCAAATCGTGAAAATAAATACTAAGACTTCCAGAACCAACAAGATGTTTAAAAGAAAAATAACATCCGTAGAGAAAGCCTTCAATAAATAATGATTTGTTGAAGCATACGAAAGAAACTAACAGATAAGAAAGATATTTCCTCACAAAACTGTCACAATCATTAAAATGTTACTTACAATATTCTCCACTAGTTTAAAGTATTTGAACTCAAAGTTGAACCAGTCATTTAATAACAATCTACTCGTTCTCGCAAAAACGCCCTCCGCCCTTTGGGATCGTGGGTACACGGTAACAGAGACTGTAAAGTCTCATTATTTCACAGGATAAGAATAGCCAAAGAGTTGGTGGTGGGTGTTGTTGACTATTTGCGTTTCCATCTAGTTCGTTAACTCAAAATTAAAGATAACGCAGATGACCCTAATATAACTTTAAACGGAGATTTTGAAATAAACAAACACTAAGAAAATTGGGCATGTATAAGTAACACGCAACAAAGCCCTCTAGAGTTAGGAATACAAGTGAAAAACTAACTGAAAAGTACCCAGGTGGATCAGCGGCAAATTTGCGGACTTACAAAGCTAAAGTCCGAAGTTCGATTCCCCGCAGTGAACACAGCAGGTAGCCCAATGTTCTAACTACAGACAAATTATATAGAAAAGGTACTGTCCTGGTAAATATTTTGATGAATAGTAACGACAAAGTAAGTTGCTTAGTTCTTGTTACCGTTTTTTATTTCATTTTTGCGTATTTTTTTGCGTTTATTTGTTATTTGCTATCTCAAATTACGTAATTTTTTGGCGTTTATATAGATCAGGCAGTTTGAAACTTAAATGTATGCTATTCGTATTATATCGTTGGGTAGAAATATTATATTAGTTTGATATTAATTTTCCTGTTTTTGTTAGCCCCAGCTTATTGCTTATAAATTATTACTTTTATTGTTTTGTTAAACAATAAGTTTATCTGTGTTCTGTCCATATTCCCCTGTGGGACAGCGGTAAGTCTACGGATGTATAACGCTAAAATCAGGGGGTTCTATTCCCCCCTCGGTGAATACAGCAGATAGCCAAATGTGATTTTTCTATATAACACACACACCCACACGATCTGTCCACATGGAATCGAATCCCGGATTTTAGAGTTGTAAGTCTGTCAACTTACTGTCGAACCACTAGCGAACTGTTTATAACGATTTTGTAGAATAACTTAGATCACACACACTTTGAGAACCTAATATGCTAAATAACGAAATGCTTGTAAATAATAAAATGCTTAACGATCTGGGAACGTTGGATAAAATATAGAACAAAAACATTCTAATGCGTGTTGACTTGACTTAGCAGGCTAAACAAGCGAGCGACTCGGCACGCTCAGGAAATCGTACCCATATGACGAATGAGCGTCAACTATAAATTATCTCCAAAGTCACTTAAACAAACAAAAACCATTATAACGCCACTACGGTTGAGTGAGTAAGTATGTTCGGTACTGTAGTTCGAACCCGTGATTGGCAGATTATGAGTCGAGTGCCCTAGCCACTAAGCCATGCCAAGTCCAGATGATTTTAAACAATCGCTAGAAAACCCCACAGAAATAGGTAAACGATCGGTAACGGGATTCGAACCCGTGACCTGCAGATTGCAAATCGAGTGCCCTACCCAACGGGTCATGTCCAACCCAAATAATTTTATGCAGTCACTAGGAAACTCTCGAAGAAATAGGTAAATGTTCGGGAACGGGGCTCGAACCCGTGACCCGTAATAGATTGCGAGTCGAGTGCCCTAAAGTCGAAACAAAAAATCTTTACTGAAAACTCTAATAATAATAAAAGCTACAAAGAAACGTATTATGCTAATTAAACTTGTAACGATATTTCGATCTTTTCGAAAGGTTGAAGAATTATTAGGCTCAAAAATAAGTTAGTTTGTCTACATATAGATAGCAGCACTTCCAGTTCTAAATGTTTTACTTCACACGTGCTTTGGTCAATCTAGATTCTCCACTACCGTTAATGACTAACAATGATTGTTCAGCACTTGCATGACATTTGGGGATTCGGCAAATTAACCATACGTTTTCTGCTAATTATTTGCATCTAATTTCTTTAGCACAAAATAGCGTATTATTGATAAAATGATAAACAAGGATAAACACTTGATTGATTTCGTAGCATTGTCAACAAGAATAATGGAAAGTAGATTGGAAGATTAACTAACAAAATAAATCAGTTTTCTCGCTTGCTACCAGTTTGCTCTATTGTAAATTAATAGTGAGGAAACTGAAATAATAAGTACTGTATTACAATGTCAAGCAATCAAATTTTTCAAACAATAATACTTATATTAACGTTAATACTGAGAAATCTACAACAATACTTATATTAACGTTAATATTGAGAAATCTGCAATAATACTTATATTAACGATAATACTGAGAAATCTACAATAATACTTGTATTAACGTTAATATTGAAAAATCTGCAATAATACTTATATTAACGTTAATATTGAGTATTATGCAATAATACTTATATTAACGTTAATATTGAGAAATCTGCAATAATACTTATATTAACGATAATACTGAGAAATCTACAATAATACTTGTATTAACGTTAATATTGAAAAATCTGCAATAATACTTATATTAACGTCAATATTGAGAAATATGCAATAATACTTATATTAACGTTAATACTGAGAAATCTACAATAATACTTATATTAACGTTAATATTGAAAAATCTGCAATAATACTTATATTAACGTTAATACTGAGAAACCTACAACAATAGTTATATTAACGTTAATAATGAAAAATCTGCAATAATACTTATATTAACGTTAATACTGAGAAACCTACAACAATAGTTATATTA